GTAACATCGAGACGGTACCATTTTATTTGTCGACCTTGGACTTGTCATCCTCAGCAGCCAGTAGCTGCCTGAGTGAAGAGATGCCTCTAGCTTCAGTGGGCCGGGAGCAAGAGGCAGAGCTGAAGGCCAAGGTCGAGGAGCTTTCACCCAGTGCCTAGAGCCTGGCACTTTGAACTTGGACTTAAAGCCTCCAAACTGTGAGAGAATAAACTCTTGTTTGTTCAAGACATCTCATTTGTGGTATATTTCTGTCAGAGTGGCACTAGGTAACCAGAACATTTAGTATATTGTATTTTGAAGGAAAAGAGTAAGGTGACAAGCAAAGGAAAAAAATGCATGTGATTAAAGTGAGGATCCCAGGCTTTTAGTATGGAAGAGTCCTGCCAAAGGGTCAAGGAAGCCACATCTTCTGACGTCCTCTAACCCCTCAGGAGGAAGACAGAACCACCATCAGCAGCCCAGGGCCTATTCCTGCGAGGCCAGCATTGCTGCCTCCCTCCAGCCCTTTCACCAACCCTGGCACCAATCATTTCTCCCACAACACCCACCATCTCTCTGCTGAGTTTGATAATTTGCTGTAGTGGCTACACAGAACTCACAGATTATGGGGTTTATTAGGAAAGCAACAGGCTACAATTCAAGTTCAGAAATGTACTCAGTCTTCACAGCTGGCTGTCTCACTTAGCAGCTGACAATCTCTCTCTCAGCAGTTCGTGTCTCTTATGTCTCTCTCTCAGCAAGTCCAGGTCTCTCAGGAACATGTTTATCTATCTCAGCAGCACATCTTTCTCAGCCAGCAGTCAGAAAGAAAGATTTCTTCTGTCTCTAGGAGGGCTCCATTTGAGCTTGGAAGAGTGGCCCAAACTAACCAATCCAAACATCAGAATTCTATACACCTGAGAGAGAGCAAACTTCCCAGAAAATTACTTTGTGCTCCTCCCAATAGAAAGAAATACCCCAGGTGGATAACTTTAACAATTAAGAGCTACTGAGTTGCTCATGGCAAATTCCACCATGGAGTTTACAAAGACTTATGTGTAGAAAAGCCACACTATGTAATTTACTACACCGCACGTAGTTAACTGTTAATTTTTCTAACACACGCATTTGGAGGTCTTAAGACCTAATAGGAGAAAAAATTTGCCTAAGATCACTTAGCAAGTTAGTGCAGTCAAATTAAGGATTCAGGTTTCTTGATTCTGAATTAAATTCTAGAGGGCACATGAACCTTGGTAGGAAAGACTAGTAGGTAGGTAGGTAGGTAGGTAGGTATGTATGTATGTATGTATGTATGTATTTATTTATTTATTTTATTAGTTGACCCTTTTGGACTGGTACTATGAAAGTATTCATTCATTCATTCATTCATTCATTCATTTATTTATTTTTTATTTTATTTTATTTTATTTTATTTTATTAGTTGACCCTTTTGGACTGGTACTATGAAAGTATGTATCCCAGAACTTGTAGACTGTTCACTCTCAAGTGTCC